TTACACGGTTCACATGATACGGCACCAAAGTTTTTACCTGAATAATATTCAGTTAATAATATTATATATTATATAATAATTATTTATGAATGTTTGTTAATATACAAAAATTTGTGATTAACTAGCGTGTAGCATTTTATACCATACCCATTGCTTTATATCCACAAACACTACATATTTTCGTGATTTCTTTGTCACCCATGTTATTATTTATGGCAAATTAGGCGATTTTATTTAGTAAACATTACATAAATAATTTTAATAAGAATTAAATACAAATTTCAAATAAAATCTTTTAGACAGGTTTTCTTGGAAACTCGTTGTATTAAAATTTAAGTTGAGTGTTAATTAATAATTATTTTCAAACAATAATTATATTAATTTTAGATTATAAACACACTTTAACAGATCTGTAAAAATAGCTTTGAGTTTTCAAATATTTATATTTTTATTTGTGTATTTTAGACCACAAAAATATATTAAGCATAATGTATCTGGCAATTGCGTTTCAAACACAAATAAATTGTTTGTAATAAAACTTAATTATATAATCTTGACGATGAAATTCACTAAAAATAGAATAATTAATAAAAATATTTCTAAGAAATAGAAAAAACCATAAGTTTTTTGAATGAGTGTTGATTTCGGATTTTAAACACGAATAAAAATCAGTGTATATAAGACTAAGTGTATGGATACATTAATGTTTATTATTAACACAAGAGTTTGCGTATAAGAGTCTAGGTAATGGCTTATTATTTCTATATAGAATCGGGGATAAATCATACAAAACTAGTTTCATCATATTAATTCACGAGCGAATTATTTTTTATGTTCTAGGTTAATGATACTAACATTTTTTTGTGTTTCAAATTGTCTTTTGTGTTTTTAACATTTCGCATTTATTTATTAATATTTATAGTTCGTAATTGCTATTTAAATTTTTAATAAACTATAAATATTTATAATAATCAGATTATGTTTAATCCACTAATGTACTTTACTTTTAATACTGCCTTTAAAATTGTAAAAAAGTTAGATAAGTCTTAATATTTTATACTAGTAATTATAATATAGTAGCTTCACAATATCAAAATCTGGTTTAACCCAAAAACATAATAAACCACACTTATCCATATTAATTTGTATTTAAGTAATACCTATATTTATATTTTGCAATAATAATATTATCCTAATCCATTCAAGTCTGTTTATAAAATAATTTAAATTATACCGTGATAATTATTAGCAATATGTATAAAAATATTATTACTGGTGATAATCTAATCATTGTAAATATATCAGCATGTCGTTTATTTTTTAATTGTAAATAAAATATAATTACAATTAATTCAATAGTTAATGAAAATGAAACTAGTTCTGAATACAATAATTTGTGACTTTTAGCAAAAATGATTGCATATATCTTCAAAGTGTTTTCAAACATTTCATTACTTAATGGAAATATCGATTTTAATTTGCTTTTAAAATATGTAATTCCGAGTTTATTTGTACTTATATAACGATTATAACATAATTAATATGAATACAACAAATACAAGTTCCGCATTTTAACCAAACAATGGCTTAACATTAAGATTGCACTAAAATATATTATAAAAATAGTATTTTTATTCCTTAGTATCAATGACTGCGCGTATAATATACAATAGTCTTATTAACAAACAGGTGTTATATCAAAGACCTCCTCAAGTAGTGGTGGAATCAAAATCTTTGGCGTTTCTTCCATTATATGCTTCCTCTGAGCCTCTCTTAAGACATTTAAATCCATTATTATATTCATTAGTCTCAAGAATCGCGACATTGCCTCAGATTCTGATCGATACTTTAATTGTAAATATCGTTGCAATAAATGCATATAAATGTGTTGTTGGAGTCTATATTGTGTGACAAATAAACATAAAGTCAATTAATAATACATATATGACTAGAAAAAGTAAACCTCAAAAATTAAAATCGATAAAAAATAAAACTCTAAAATATATAATTATTTACTTGATAACGTTTCTGTTAGCAAGGTTTGGACGATCGGGATTGAACAAAGTTATTGATGACATCTATGAAAATGATTAAATTAATTATCAATAGAAGTTTTGCAAGTATATATAATATTTAGAAAATTAAATCATACCAAATCAAGTATAGTTATATCGGTGTCACAAATGTCAGCCATTTTTTGTACAAATTTAGTGTACGGCTTATAATAATAGTCAACATTTTTCAAATAATCAACTTTTACTACAATCGAGTGTTCCGTATCCTATGAACAATAAGTTAGATCAAGCTTAAATATTATTCAGTTGAATGTAAATTAATGTCACATACCATGGGAATTTTGAGAGTATTATTCGTGTAATCAAAATACATGATAGACCTCAAGAATATGATATCAAAGCACCCGTACTTCAGTAGTGAGATCTGGTCCTCACAGCAAATATTTCTGAATGCGGACAACCATTTGACAGCTTTGGTCTGACCTCTGATGGATGTGTCAAATTTGGTGGTAAATGACTGATGAATATCATACATAGTGTCCAAGGATTTTATTTTGTTGCTCATCGGTGCCCCCAGAAGCTGAGTGCATGTCTTCATCTCATTCAGTAAATAAATTTCCGTTACATTGAAACCAGAGTTGCATTCACTTAGAGGTCTCGCGATAGGAATCACCGAAACGGCAAACTCTACCGCCTTTTCGATCGTCTCGTTTGACACATTATAATCGGATTGTGAATTAATTTCATTACAATTATTATATACACCAATTTTCTGGTCATTTATCGTGTTATCAAAACTATTGTCTACAATGTAATCAATGAAATCTTGGAAAACAGTGCTCTCTATTTCCATAATCTGTTGGTTGAGGGCATCGGCACTGAAATTGTTGTCTTCGAGTATTTCGCATAAAATATCATCATTTGTGATATTATTTGTGTTTGAGATGTCATTTCCATGCGATGAGTCTATCAATGATTGAGGACTTTCATCATTACTATTAAAACTGTTATCCTTTTTCTTTTTGTTTTCTAATATCCTGAGTCTTTTCATCTCCCGTTCCTCTTCATTCAATATCCAGTCCTTTCTCATATAAAACTTGGTTTAATAATTATAATCATGACCTTGTGCATTTCAATTTATACCCGTCTCATTCCGACGGCCAGGCATTTATCTAATCGACACTTTGAGCAAAACCTTCGCGTGATTTCATCGAGTTTGCAGTTATTGTCAAAATGGCATTTGAGCTATAATTTGATGGACAAGCAATTTATTAAATTACTATTTGTTTACAAATAAAAAAGTTAATATTTACAGTATTTTTAAAGGCATTCCTACGGAAAAAGGCTTTACAAGGTTCACATGATACGGCACCAAAGTTTTTACCTGAATATATGATAATTATTTATTAATGTTTATTAATATACAAAAAGTGATTAATTAGCGTGTAACGTTTTATATCATACCCATTGCTTTATATCCACAAACACTACATATTTTCGTGATTCCTTTGTCACTCATATTATGATTTATCACAAATTAAACGTTTTATTCATTATACATTACATAATTATAATATGAATTAAATGCAAATTAGAGATAAAATCTTTACGACATGTTTTCTTGGAAACTCGTTAAATTAAAATTTAAGCTGAATGTTAATAAATTCAAACACTTATATTAATTTTTTGATTATAAACACATTTTGATCGATCTATAAAAATAGCTTTCAGTTTTCAAATATTAATTTTTATTATTAAGCATAATGTATCTGGCAATTGCGTTTCAAACACAAATGAATTGTTTGTAATAAAACTTAATTATATATATTCTTGACGATGAAATTCACTAAAAATAGAATAATTAATAAAAATATTTCTAAGAAATAGAAAAAACCATAAGTTTTTTGAATGAGTGTTGATTTCAGATTTTAAACACGACTAGAAATCAGTGCATAAACACATTAATGATTGTTATTAACACAAGAGTTGGTGTATAAGAATCTAGGTAATGTTTTATAATATTTATATAGAATCGGGGATAAATCATACAAAACTAGTTTTATATCAATAATATTAATTCGCGAGTAAATTATTCTTTTATGTTCAAGGTTAATGGTTAATGATTCTAACATTTTTTTGTGTTTCTAACGTATCGCATTTATTTATTAATATTTATAGTTCGTAATTGCTATTTAAATTTTAATATACTATAAATATTTATAATAATCAAATTATATTTAATCCTCCAAAGTACGTTACTTTTAATACTGTCTTTAAAATTGTAAAATTAAAGTTTCATAAGTCATACTAATTTTTACTACAGTAAATTGTAGTAATAATAGAGTATAGTAACTTCACAATATCCAAATTTGGTTTAACCCAAAAACATAATGAACCACACTCATCTATATTAATGTGTATTTAAGTAATACTGTACCTGTATTTGTATTTTGCAATTGAAATATTATCACAATCCATTCAAGTCTGTTTATAAAATAATTTAAATTATAAAGTGATAATTATGATAATTATTAGCAATATGCATAAAAATATTAGTACTGGTGATAAACTACTCATTATAAATATATCAACATATCGTTTATTTTTTTAATGACAAATAAAATATAAGGAAAAATTAATTCAATGGTTAATGAACTCGAAAATAGTCTTGAATACAAATATTGTGCGACTTTTAGCAAAAATAATTGCATACCTTTCCAAAGTCTGGTCAAACTTTTCATTACTTAATGGAAATATTTATATTTAGTAATTCATTCGGAATTGTAAAGTCATTTAAATATTTTAATATCAAATGAAATTTTACCTCATTTCCCATTTGCATAATAGTTATTTTTTCATTAACTAAACAATTTATGTAGTCTTAAAGTATTTTGTAAGTAATAAAAGGAAAGCAAACTATGATTTATTTGAAAATGATATTTAAATAAGTGTTAACTATTTGGCAATTGAGATTAATTTCTATTTCATAAATATTATTTCTTGAAATATTATTATGGCTTAAACAAATACATATATTATTGTTGGTTATTAAATGTTGTTATATTATATTTTATATAAGTTTGTCAGGTTAAAAGTTTAACGACTGTTAGTAATTTACTGTTGGTTTGTGAACATATTTTACATTGCATAATTTTTTATAATGTTTATTGGAGTTTAAGGGCTGATTAAAGGTTAACTAATTAGACATATGGATAAAGTGTGTTTAATTGTAAAATTTCTATTTATTTAGAGTTAAGTATATTATAGTTAATAAACTGAATATTATATCAAAATGAAAAAATTCAACATGTTTTTTAAAAACAAGATAAGTTATACACAAAATGATAAAGTAATCAATTTTTATTTGCTTTTAAACTATGTGACTCTGGGTTTATTTGTACTTATATAACCATTTTAACATAATTAGTATGAATACAATAAATACACGTTTCACATTTTAGCCAAACAATTGCTTAACATTAACTAAAATATATTATAAAAATAATATTTTTATTTCTTGGTATCAATGACTGCGCGTATAATATACAATAGTCTGATTAACAAACAGGTGTCATATCAAAGACCTCCTCCAGAAGTGGTGGAATCAATGTCTTCGGCGTGTCTTCCATTGTATTCTTCCTCTGAGCCTCTCTTAAGACATTTAAATCCATTATTATATTCATTAGTCTCAAGAATCGCGACATTGCCTCACATTCCGATCGATACTTGAGTTGTAAATATCGTCGCAATAAATGCATATAAATGTGTTGTTGGAGTCTATATTGTGTGACAAATAAACATAAAGTCAATCAATTAATGTGAGTCTAAAAATAATAATAAAAATATACAATATATATAATAGATGTGAAAAATTTGCGAAATATCAATCGATAAAGAAATAAAAATCAAATCTCAAATAAACTTATTAATTACTTTATGACATCTTTATTAACAAGGTTAGGATGATCCGGATTGAACAGAATTATTGACGACATCTATGACATTAAATAATTTGGTAATAATTATAAATTAAGAATTTGTATTCTAGTAACTATATACTAGTACCAAATTAAGTATAATGCGATCGGTGTCCCAAATGCGTGAAAATTTTTGAACAAAATTTCTATATGGGTGATATATATAGTCAACATTTTTCAAAAAATCCATGCTCAATATCATCGTGTGATAACGATCCTATAACAAAATGAAAATCTAATAAACTTATTAATATAATAAATGTAAACTAATGGCACAAACCAAAGGAAGTTTGAGCGTATTATCCGTGCAATCAAAATACACGATAGTCCGCAAGAATATGACTTCAAAGCACCCGTACTTCAGTAGTGAGATCTGGTCCTCACAGCAAATATCCCTGAATGCGGACAACCCTTTCACTGTTTTTGTCAGGTCTGTGATTGATCTGACCTGTTTGCTAGTAAAATACTGATAAAACTCATACATATTATCCAGATTTTTGTTTACATAACTTATGTGAGGAGTGCACATAAACTGAGACCATCTCATCAATTCATTCATTAAATAAATTTCCTTTTCATTGAAACCAGTGTTGAATTCCCGTTGAGGTCTGGCTATAGGTATCACTGAAACGGCAAACTCGACCGCCTTTTCGATCGTCTCGTTTGACACTTCGTAATCCGTTTGTGAAGTAATTTCATTGCAATTATTATAACAACTAATTTGTTGATCATTTAACAAATTGTTTGTGTTTTCAAAACTATTTTTCTCATTGAAACCATTGTCAAGAATGCACTCTATGTCCATAATCTGTCGGTTGAGAGCATCGGCACTAAAATTGTTGTCATCGAGTATTTCACATAATATATCACTATTTGTGGTATTAATGGTGTTTGAGATGTGATTTTCATGCAATGCTTCCGGTGACCTGTCTATCAATGATTTGGGACTTTCATCGCTAGTATTACTATTAAAACTATTTCCCTTTTTCTTTTTGTTTTCTAATATCCTAAGTCTTTTCATATCCCGTTCCTCTTCATTTAATAGCCAGTCCTTAATAATATAAAACTTGGTTTAATAATTATAATTATGACCTTGTGCATTTTAATTCATACCCGCCTCATTCCAATGGCCAGGCATTTCTCTAATCGACACTTTGTGCAAAACTTTCGCGTGATTTCATTAATTTTGCAGTTATTGTCGAAATGACATTTGAGCTATGATTTAGTAAACGAGGCAATTATTTAAATGATGATTACATTGATAACAAATACAATTAAAGAGTTTTACAGTAGTTTTGAGAGCATTTCGTCGGAAAAAGGCTTTGCAGGGCTCACACGATAAGGCGCCGAAGTTTTTGCCTAAATATTCATATAATTATTAATAGTTATGAACAATAAATATCTATTTACATCAGGATAGCTTTTATCAAACATGAGGTTTTTACTACATCTCGTGTTACTATGAGGATATACAGTAATTTAGACTACCTAGCACTCAAAATGTAAGGAATCAATATCTTACCCATTGCTGTATATCCACAAACACCACAAACTTTGGAATGTCCCCGGTCACTCATGTTATGATTTACCACAAACTATGTATATTTATTATATACTGTATCATAGTAACACTATAATCATTACTATTATTCTAGAAATTTGCAAAAATGTTGTTAAATATTTGGTTGCATGAAATATTTATATGGAGACACGAATTTATGCTTTAAATAAAATGAGCAACCATATAAATAAAGCAAAACAAAAATACTGTTGACATTTAAATAGAGAATTTATTAATGTCTATACCAATAACAGTTTCATATGATTTATATTTAATATAGCAGTGATTTCAAGTTAGTAATATTGTCAATAAAATATAATAATATATTCTTGATGTTTAAGTTTAAACGATATATTAAATGATAAAAGAAGTCATTCTTGATAATGCACTAAATCACACAAAAATATTCAAAAAATAGTTGTAGGAAATACAAAGAATTAAAAATTATTGAATGTATTTTTTAAACATACAAAAATTTGTACATTTTTACATTTGTACACTGCGTTAAAAAAAATGCTATTAAAAATAAAATTGTCGATGCTACATTTTCACTCAGAGTTTGCGTGTAAGTTTTATCTAATGAATAAAAAATTATACGATTGCACAGAGCGTAAGATTTCGTAATTTACTGTGTAATGATAAATTAAGTAATGTTAGGCTTAATTTATCAATGCAAATGAATGTTAGGTATAATTAATTTTAAGTCAGAATTTTTTTGTGATAAATGTTTTACAAATTCAAAAAATTTTAATTATTATAAACTTATTATTAAAATATTTTTATCATATCTGAAAAAATAAAGGTATATTAAATAAATTAACCAAATCTATAATTAGTTAATATTTGAAGTATAACTGATTTTTACAATGATTGTAACGTAGAATCTATTGATAATGTAATTAAAATATAGTATAAATTATAATTTATAAATTATTATAAAAATGAAAATTACATAATGTTATGTAACTTGAATACTGAGTACGTTACTAAGTATTTGTGATTAAGTTAGTTTGACTGACATTCAGGTGTCATCAAAGACCTCCTGCAGAAGTGGCTGAATCAAAGTCTTTGGCGTTTCTTCCATTATAAGCTTCCTCTGAGCCTCTCTTAAGACATTTAAACCCGTGATTACATTCATTAGTCTCAAGAATCGTGACTTTGCCTCACATTCTGATCGATACTTGAGTTGTAAATATCTAAGCAATAAATGCATATAAATGTGTTGTTGGAGTCTATATTGTGTGACAAATAAATCAAAATTATGTTATATTAAAACATCTCTAAACAATCAAATGTCACAAATGTATTAAGTTACTTGACATAATCTCTATTAGCAAGGTTTGGATTATCCGGATTGAACATAACTATTGAGGACATCTACGAATAAATTAATTTTAGATAATGTGAAACATTTAATATGACATATAGTTAATACCAAATGAATAATATTGTGATCGGTGTCCCAAATGCTTGATAACTTGTGTAAAAACTTGCTAAATGGCTGATAAAAATTATCAAAATTTTTCAAAAAATCCATTTTCAATACAATCGAATGATCCTGGTCCTATGAGACAATACAACAATTATTAAAGCTTTTCAGTAATTTACTAATAATTAAATGCAAGCTAATGGTACAAACCATAGAAATTTTGAGCGAGTTATTTGTGTAATCAAAAAACATGATAGACCTCAAGAATGTGACTTCAAAGCACCCGTACTTTAGTAGTGAGATCTGGTCGGACTCACAGACATCTCTGAATGCGGACAACCCTTTCACCGCTTTGATCACATTTCTGATACATCGGTCATACTTAATGTTAAGTGACTTATGAAAGTCATACATATTATCCAAATATTTGTTTGTATTACTCTTAGGAGTATACATAAACTGAGTGCATGTCATCAATTCATTCATTAAATAAGTCTCCTTTTCATTGAAACCAGTGTTGCATTCACTTAGAGGTCGGGCGATAGGTATCACCCGATAGGCGAACTCTACGGCCTTTTCGATTGTCTCATTTGACACATTATAACCAATTTGTGAGTTATTACTATTAATACTAATTTGTTGATTATTTGGTAAATTGGTTGAGTTATTAAGACTATTGTCCACAATATTATCGATGAATCCGTTGGTAACAGTGCTGTCTATATCTCTAATCTGTTCGCTGAGGGCATCGGTACTGATATTATTGTCTTCGAGTATTTCATTCAAAATATCATTATATGTGGTATTATTGGTGTTTAAAATTTGATGTCCATAGTATGTGTCTGGTAATGATTTTATACTCTCATCGCTAATATGTGTGTTACTGCTACTATTTTTTCGTTTCTTATTTATTAATATTTTAAGTCTTTTCATCTCCCGGTCCTCTTCATTTAGTAACCAGTCCTTGGTAATCAAAATAAACTTATTTTAATTTCTAATTTATTTCCTGTGAGTCAATACCTGTCTCATTCCAATGGCCAGGCATTTGTCTAATCGACACTTTGGGCAAAACTTTCTAGTGACTGAATCAATTTTGCATTTATTGTCGTAATGGCATATAAGCTATTATTTTAGACAATCAAACAATTACTATAAATTTAATAACAAATAATATAACTATGTTTACAGTAGTTTTCAACGCATTCCTACGGAAAAAGGCTTTGCAGGGCTCACACGATACGGCACCAAAGTTTTTGCCTAATTTTTAATATAATAAATATATTAATTAGGGATTGAATTAATCAGTGTATAATTATTTTTATCATACCAATTGCTATATACCCACAAACACCGCATACTTTTAGATATCCCTTGTCATTCATACTTTGTAGTGACATTTATTAATATATGAATTTTATTTATATAATAATAATTATTATTAATCGCTTTTAATAACGATGATTTGTTATTAAAATATATCTAGCAGGTATCGATTAAACACAAATTATTTTCAAATACGGTAACAGTTTAAATAAAATTGAGTTTATAAACACATATGGCTAACAACCACAAAATATATAATGTTCATTTTTAATATTTATATTATTAATTTTTAGGCAAACTTAATTTTTGATTATATTGTTAATTTAATATTTCTAATACTAAAGCGTTTCACACCAATCTTATTAATATTATTTAATATATTTATTGAGATTTGCAGTCGACATTTAATAATACACTTAAACAATACACTTCAAAAACAGTCATAAAGAATACACAGAACCAGAAGTTTTTGAATGAGAATTCATTTGTAAATAGTTTTTGAGTTATTTTATACGCTACAAGAAATGTGTGCAAAACGAGTAGACTAAACACAACATATTAAAAATAAAATATACAATAATTGCTAATAAACAACTAATTATTAGTTATTAAGATTTGAATTTCACATGAGATAATACAGAATATTTAAGTTAAGGTAAGTTAATAACTTATATCTGCTAAATTTTATTTTATTATTTTCTTTAAAAATCGTATTAATTGTAAACTTATAAAAAATTACTAGATTAAATGTCTATATAAAAATTATATGGGAGATTAAGAAATAATACAGGTGCATTTTATGACACTATTTATCGAATAAAGTAATATGTGTTAGTTTATTTAGTAAAATGTCAACATAACAATTACAACTAATTTACTACCGGTTCACAGTATTTGAATATACAAAGTAATTAATCAAATAAATATTTTTATAAAATTATATTATAAACAATTTTTAATATTCTTTTAAAATATGGGATTTATTTTGGATTCCTTATTGTGCATATAATTAGGCTCATTACAACCTATACTGTATATTTAAAAATTAAATATTATACGTACTATACTGGTATATAGTTAGCCATAAATAGCAGTCAATCTTAATAATGCACTAAAAAATCAAATACAAAACACGTAAAGAATACATAAAACCAGAAATTGTTTTTGAATAAGAGTTGAGTTTAGTTTTGAATGTTGCCACTACTAGAAATGTGCCATAAAAAAAGTCAATTGAGCAAAGTCAGTCTATCGTTTTAATTGGATTGCTAGCAAACAAACAATAACAATCATTATCACAAGAGTTTGCGTAGATAAGAGTTTGGCTACTGAATTACAATTACAAAAACTTGTTTTTGTATTTCATTCACAATCATATTGTTTAAATTCACGGTTCATGAATTCTAGCATTAGGTGTTGAAAACAAAATATTCCCGTGCATATTATACACTTTTACGGAAAATTGTGAAAATTACATTCCCTAAAGTTACTATTAAACCCAATCTACTTCTACATAAAATTATATAATTTAAAGTTGTAATCCAGGTGTATTTAAATATAACTCATGTGCAGAGGGTTTATTGTTTAGTTTAGTGAAATGAGAAGCTAAAAACTGTATTTTGTTAACTTGTAACATCTGTAAGGTTATTAAATGAAATTATTGAATAAATTTTTAAAATGTATCCATTAATGTCATACAATAGAAAAAATTGAACGTATGGCAGTAATATACCGGTGTATTGTAATCAATCTCTAATATGGTTTTTAAATATGACATTTATTTAATATTTGAGTACATGCAAGCTTAATATAATTAATTTCAATACAATGCCTATTTTCAGAGGGTTTATTGTTTAGTTTAGTGAAATGAAGCTAAAAACTGTATTTTTTTAACTTTTAACATCTGTTTGGTTATTAAATGAAATTATTAAATAAATAAAATGCATCCATTAATTTCATACAATAGAAAAAATATAACGTATGGTTGTAATATACCGGTGTATTGTAATCAATCATTAATGTGGTTTTTTAATATGACATTTAGTTAATATTTGAGTAGTTGCAAACCTAATATAATTAATTTCATTACAATGCCTAATTATGAATGAAATATAATACTGATTTTGTATTTTACAATACATTGTGTTTTAAAAAACAATATAACATTAAAATTGAGGTAAAAGTTATTTTAAAATAAAACTCAATATTCAGTCAAAACTATAAACTCGTGAGCGAATAGTCTGACTGACAATCAGGTGTCATATCAAAGACCTCCTCCAGAAGTGGTGGAATCAATGTCTTCGGCGTGTATTCAATCATATGTTTTCTATGACCCTCTCTTAAGACATTTAAATCCATTATTATATTCATTAGCCTTAAAAGTCGTGATTTTGCCTCACATTCCGATCGATACTTGAGTTGTAAATATCGTCGCAATAAATGCATATAAATGTGTTGTTGGAGTCTATATTGTGTGACAAATAAATATAAAGTTAAATAATTAATGAGAAAAATAAATGTCAAAAGTTTAAGATATAGAAATCGATAAAGAAATAAAAATCAAGTCTCAATAAAACTTATTAATTACTTGATAACATCTCTATTAGCAAGGTTTGGACGGTCCGGATTGAACATAGCTATTGATGTCATCTAGGAAAATAATTTCATATATTTAATAAAAGTAACCAGGTGCAATAAATTAGTAGAATCTCATACTAAATGAATTATATTGCGATCGGTGTCCCAAATGTGTGACATTGTGTGTAGAAAATTGAGAAACGGATGATATAAATAGTCAGCGCTTTTCAATATATCGATTTTCATTACTACCGAGTGATCAGGGTCCTATGAAAATGAAATTTTGAATTAATTATTTCACAAATTAAATACAAACTAATTTAAAAACACAAACCAAAGGAATTTTGAGCACATTATCCGTGTAATCAAAATACATGATAGACCTCAAGAATATGACATCAAAGCACCCGTACTTCAGTAGTGAGATCTGGTCCTCACAACAGATATTCTTGAATGCCGTCAACCCTTTCATAGCTTTTGTCACATTTCTGATACATTTGTCAAATTTGGTGGTAGCAGTCTGGTGATAGTCATAGTCATAGATATTGTCCAGATTTCTGCTGTTACTGCTGTACGGACTGCCCAGACGTCGGAGTGTTGCCATCAATTCATTCATTAAATAAATCTCCTTTTCATTGAAACCAGCGGTACATTGACCTAGAGGTTGCGCGATAGGTATCACCGAAACGGCAAACTCGACGGCCTTTTCAATGGTCTTATTTGACACGTTATAACAAGCAATTTGTTGCACATATGGTGGTGAGGTATTTAGCTTATCAAAGCTATTGTCCACAATATTATCAATGAAATCGTTGGTAACAGTGGTCTCTATATCCCTAATCTGTTCGCTGAGGGCATCGGCGCTGATATTGTTGTCGTCGAGTATTTCGTATAAAATATCATTATTTAAGGTTTGATTGGTGTTTGAGATGTGATTTTCATGTGATGTTTCCGAAGATGAGTCTATCAATGATTGTGGACTTTCATCGCATGTAATACTAGTATTACTACTATTATTAGCACTATTATGACTATCCCTCCACTTTTTGTTTTCTAATCGCTTGAGTTTTTTCATCTCCCGTTCCTCTTCATTAAGTATCCAGTCCTTGATATTAATAAAACTTGTTTTAATCATTTTAATTGATAATGTTTGTGAGTTAATGCATTTTCATTGTATACCCTTCTCATTCCTATGGCCAGGCACTTGTCTAATCGGCATCTTGAGCAAAACTTCCTCGTGATTGAATCAATTTTGCATTTATTATCGAAATGGCATTTTAGCTATATGTCAATCAATGTATTAAATTAGCATTAAATGTTTAGCAATTAAAATCAAACATTACAGCATTTTTTAAGGCATTCCTACGGAAAAAGGCTTTACATGGCTCACACGATACGGCACCAAAGTTTTTGCCTGTATATTCATATAACAATTATTAAATAGAGTATTAAAAGGAAATTTTTGAATTAATTAATGTTTAATAAAAGTTATATCATACCCATTGCCATATGTCCACAAACACCGCACACTTTCGGAAATACTTTAACACTCATATTATGATATGCCGTAAATTATGGGTATTTTATTCATTAACCGTAATGATAATTTGCATTAAACACACATTAGTTGTAATGTATTTTGACAGGTTTATATGAAAACTCATGTATAATATGCATCGATTACATGTTAATTATATTCAACTATTGTTAAACAATTATAATAAGTTTGGATTATGAATACACTGACGGAAACACAAAAAATAAAAATAATATTTTCAATTTTCAAACTTATATTTTTATTGATATTTTTAGGTCACGAAAAATATATACTTTATATAAAGTATCCAACGATCGTGTTTCTAAATAAAAATAAATTTCTGTGAATACAACTTAATTATATTTTCTCAAAATCACTGTATATGTTATTACCGTAAATAGCACTCAATCTAAACAATGCACTAAAACCACAATAAAAATACAAAAATAGTCGTAAAGAATGCACAAAACCATAAGTTTTGTTTTGAATGAGAGTTTGATTTTTCGGGATTTTAAACACTATTAGAAATGTGTGCAAACAAGTCGACTGTTTGAATGGATGGCTATTAAAACATTACTACATTTGATTACCATTAGTGCCAAAGATTTTGCGTATAAGAGTTTAGGTAACGACTTATCATTTCTATAAAGAATCGGGGACATATCTAGCAAAACTTGTTTTTTATTATTATAATCAATGAGCGAATTAATTGTTCAGTTTCAAGGCTAATGGTTTTAGTTATTAAATTTGAAAACATAAATTTAAATCATTTTTCTTATATCTAATATAATTTATATTCTAATTATTATAAATAAGAAATTGTTTTTTTTGTTATAAAATTAAGGAAACTTTTTTAAAACCTTTCCTGTATTTAGATTTATTCAAACTTTTTATACTTATTGTTTGAATTTAAACATATTATGAATACTAATGTAATTACATAATCCGGTGATATAATGGGCCCAAAATAACGTGAAATTGTTATAAGTGTTTGCATTTGCAATTATACAATGTACAAAATACAAATACTTATTCTGAAAATTTTGATAAATATTTATTTTTTAATTTAACACAATTATAATTTTATTGCTGTATGTTTGCTGTGTAAAATAAATAATAAATTTACTTTAGTATTACCTTATAAAAAAAGTATTATGATATTGATATAAAATCTAAATAAAAATAATTTGTCATGAAATCCAAGTGTATGTTTTATGTTACCAATAACAGAGTAAAGTTATCCTGTTTAAATTACTGGTAGTAAATTAGCAATAAAAAACACAATCAATAAACTTTAAGAATATTAAATGAAATGAATGTTAAAATTTTTAATTAAATATAATATAAATACAATGTAATAAGCAGGAAATTATATTGTAATAAGTTATTAATTGCTTTTTAAAGTATGACATTTATTTATAATTTTAACAATTTAATGACGATAAACATAAAATAATGTTAATTAACTTTAGTATAACGATTATTAAGTTATGAATTAAATATAATATAATACATGTTTTGTATTTTATAATGCATTGTATAATAAATAATGTTAACATTGAGGTAAACCTTATTTTATAAAATACTGCATTTACAGTAATTGATTAATTCATTGATTACTATAAAATAGTGAGCGTGTAGTCTGACTGACATACAGGTGCGATATCTAAGATCTCTTGGAGTAGTGGCGGAATCAATGTCTTTGGCGTGTCTTCCATCGTATTCTTCCTCTGAGCCTCTCTTAAGACATTTAAACCCATGATTACATTCATTAGTCTTAAAAATCTTGACTTTGCCTCACATTCCGATCGATATTTCAATTGTAAATATCGTTGCAATAAATGCATATAAATGTGTTGTTGGAGTCTATATTGTGTGACAAATAAACATAAAGTCAATCAATTAATGTTAAGAATAGATGAATCGATACAGAAATAAAAATAATATGGCAAAAAAGTTATTAATTACTTGATAACATCTCTATTAGCAAGGTTGGGAATGTCCGGATTGAACAAAGTTATTGATGACATCTACAAAAAATTATTTACTTTATTATAAGTATAAATTTTACAAATTTACAAAATTTTAATCTAGTAAACTTTTATACCAAATCTATTATTGTGCGATCGGTGTCCCAAATGGGTAATAGTTTATTTAAAAATTTCTTATATGGGTGATAAAAATATTCAATGTTTCTCAAAAAATCTAATTTTAATACAATTTGGTTATCCGGGTCCTATCAGAAAAAAATAAATACTGTAAATTTTATAACAAATTATAATAAATGCAAAACTGATGACACAAACCATTGGAATTTTGAGCACATTATCCGTGTAATCAAAACACCTGATAGACCTCAAGAATATGACTTCAAAGCACCCGTACTTCAGTAGTGAGATCTGGTCCTCACAGTAGATATCCCTGAATGCGGACAACCCTTTCACGAATTTTGTTATATTTCTGATACATCTGTCAAATTTGGTGGCAAAAGTCTGATGAAAGTCATACATATTGTCCAGGCCTTTGATGTTACTGCTAAACGGAGTGACCATACACCGGGCAGTTGTTATCAATTCATTCAATAAATAAGTTTCCCTTTCATTGAAACCAGTGTTGCATTCACTTAGAGGTCGCGCGATAGGTATCACTGAAACAGCAAACCCGACGGCCTTTTCAATCGTCTCGTTTGACACATTATAACCCGTTTGTGAAGTTATCTCATTGCAATTATTATATACACTAATTTGTTGATCATTTATTATGCAATCAAATTTTTTGTCCACAATATTATCAATGAAATCGTTTGTAACAGTGCTCTCTATATCCATAATTTGCTCGCTAAGGGCATCGGCACTAATGTTGTTGTCATCAAGTATTTCGCATAAAATATCATTATTTGTGTTATTATTGGTGTTTGAGATGTAGTTTCCGTGCGATGTTTCCGGTGATGAGTCTATCAATGATTTTGTACTTTCATCGCTAATATTATTGTATTGATTACTATCCCTCCGTTTTTTGTTTGCTAATATCTTAAGCTTTTTGAGTTCCCGTTCCTCGTCATTCAATATCCAGTCCTTAATCAAACAAAATTTGTTATAATTATTTAAATTACTATTTATTTCAATTCATTGAATACCCGTCTCATGCCAATGGCCAGGCATTTATCTAATCGACACCTTGAGCAAAACTTTCTGGTGATTGAATCAATATTGCATTTATTGTCGAAATGGCATTTTAGCTATAATTTATCCGTTATTTTAATAAATTTCTATTAAATATATATTTTCTATAATACAAATAAAATTACCGTATTTTTTAAGGCATTCCTCCTAAAAAAAGCTTTACAGGGCTCACACGATATGGCACCAAAATTTTTGCCTGTATATTTATATAGTAATAATTTACAGGTATTAACTAATAACTTATTAGTACAGTAATTAGAATTATAATGATGAATTTTAAAATTAATTAGTGTTTAAAAAAGTCATATCATACCCATTGCCATATGTCCGCAAACAGCACATACTTTCGGTAATACTTTGTCACTCATAGTATGGTTGACGTTGACATTAAATTATATGTATTTTATTCATTAATAATTATAATTTGCATTCAAAATACATTAGCAATTTGTTACGACTGGTTTATATGGAAACTCATGCTTAATATAATATTATATATTAATTATATTAAAATTTTATATTAGATTTTGAACACTTTCTGACGAAATGATAAAAATACTAAATTTTTCATCGCTGTATTTTGTAGTTTTATTGATATTTATGATTAAAAATACATTAGTGTACATTTAATACTATGAATGACCCAATGATAAATAAATTTCTATGAATACAACTTAATTATAGATTCTTGAAGTCAATGTATATAAATGTTTACTACTATACTGTACACTGTAAATAGCAATCAATCTTAACAATGTATTACAACTACAATAAAATACAAAAATAGTCGTAAAGTATATTGAAAACTAGAAGTTTTTTGAATGAGAGTCAGTTTCTGGGGATTTAAAACACAACTAAAAATGTGTGCAAACAAGTCGACTGTTTAAATGGATGGCTATTAAACATAAATGCATTTGATTATCATCAGCACCAGAGTTTGCGTACAAAAGTTTAGGTAAAGACTTATAATAACTATATAGAATCGGGGACATATCTAGGAAAACTTGTTTTTTATTTTAATCCATGAACGAATTAATTGTTTGCATTCAAGGTAAATGTTACACGCGATTAAATCTTTAAAAATATCCTTTTAATATCTCCTTTCCTACATATTCTTATTTATTATTAAAAAAGAAACTGATTTTGTTATAAAATTATAATAATCAAATTATGTTTAATCCACTAAAGTACTTTTCTTTTAATATTACCTTTAAAATGCTTAAATCAAAGTTAGATAAGTTTTATTATTTTATATTTACTACGGCTATACATACACCATAATATTGAAAATGTTTACAAACCATTTATTATTATTTAATCGATGGGTGAAACGAAAATTGATTTTTCCATTTATAATTTTATTTATTTATAAATTAATATCAAAAATATTTCTATTATTTTTTTGATAATAAAATATAATAAATACAATCCATTAAATGAATAAAATATTAGTTAACAAAGTTTTCAATATTTATTTGTAGTATCAGTGAAAATGAAAGTTTTTGTTATTTTTATATAAAAAATAAAATAAATTACAAAAATATTATAAGAATTTTAAAACATATTTTTTTCTATTTTAATCATAAGAAATTTATATTTATATTTGGTTACATGAATGCATCGAATTTGCTATAAAAAAAACTACCAGTGCTTTTCATATATTAATAAACCTGAGTTTGGGTATTGGTTGATACAATATAGGAACTTCACAATAATATTATATATTATATGAGTCTGGTTTAACCCAAAAACATAATAAACCACACTTTTCTATATTAACTTTGTATTTAGCTAATATTGTACCTGTATTTTAAAATAAAAATATTATCTGGTTCCTTTCAAGTGTTTTTATATAATCGTTTAAATTATATCGTGATAATTATCACTAATATGCATAAAAACATTAGTATTGTTGATTATAAATATATCAACATATCGTTTATTTATTTAATGACAAATAAAATATAAGTTATCGGTAATAGACTTGAAACTAGTTTTATATTCAAATATTTTAGGAAATTTTAACATAATTATTATTTATCTTTACAAAGTCTGGTCAGAATTTCATTACTTAATGAAAATATATAGTATAATAATATTTTCATAATTGTAAAGTCATTTAAATATTTAATACTTAAATTGACATTAAATTTTGCCGCATTACCCATTTGGATAATAGTTATTTTTTTCATTATCTAAACAATTCATGTAGTCTTAAGATATTTTGAAAGTAATAAAAGGAAGTTCATTATTTTCTAAATTCCTCCCCCAAATAACATATACACTTTTCACCTGACCCCCTCCCTCCTACCCCTTGCCTACGTACTTATTGAATGGCCCCTATTATAATACATTGTACCTTAAATAATAAATACTGTTAACATTAAGGTACACCAGAATTTATAATAAATTAAACTACATTTCCTTGATTTCTATAAACTCGTGAACGAATATTCCGACTGACATACAGGTGTCATATCAAAGACCTCCTCAAGTAGTGGCGGAAGCAAAGTCTTCGGCGTGTCTTCAATCATATGCTTCCTCTGAGCCTCTCTTAAGACATTTAAATCCATTATTATATTCATTAGTCTCAAGAATCGCGACATTGCCTCACATTCCGATCGATACTTCAATTGTAAATATCGTCGCAATAAATGCATATAAATGTGTTGTTGGAGTCTATATTGTGTGACAAATAAACATAAAGTCAATCAATAGTATTAAGAATTAATGACAATTTTTGGAATTGCAATTTATAATGAAATATTAAAAATGTAAAATAAAGCTATTTATTAATTACTTGATAACATCTCTATTAGCAAGGTTGGGACGATCCGGATTAAACAAAGTTATTGATGACATCTACGAAAATTATTTGTTTAAATAAGTATAAGTTCTACTAATATCCATAATTTAAATTTAATAAATTTATATACCAAGTTTATTATTGTGTGGTCGTTGTCCCAAATGGGTAATAGCTTTTGCAAAAACTTCATATATGGGTGATAAAAAATTTCAACGTTTTTCAAAAAATCCAATTTTAATACAATAAAATTATTCGGGCTCTATCAGGTACAAACAAATACTATAAATTAGCTTGCACCACAAATATAATCTACAAACCATTGGAATTTTGATCACATTATCCGTGTAATCAAAAAACTTGATAGACCTCAAGAATATGACATCAAAGCACCCGTACTTCAGTAGTGAGATCTGGTCTTCAGAGTAGATATCCCTGAATGCGGACAACCCTTTCACAAAAGTTGTTAAATTTCTGATACAACTGTCAAATTTGTTGGCAATAGTCTGATGAAAGTCATACATATTGTCCACATCTTTGATGTTACTGCTAAACGAACAGATCATACGCCGGGAAGTTGTTATCAATTCATTCAATAAATAAGTTTCCCTTTCATTGAAACGAGTGTTGCATTCACTTAGAGGTCTGGCGATAGGTATCACCGAAACAGTAAACTCTACGGCTTTTTCTATCGTCTCATTTGACACATTATAACCCGTTTGTGGAGTAATTTGATTGCTATTATTATATCCAATAATTTGTTGATCATTTATAATGTAATCAAAATTTGTGTCCATAATATCATCAATGAATCCGTTGTTAACAGTGCTCTCTATATCCCTAATCTGTTCACCGAGGGCATTTTCACTGAAATGATTGTTATCGAGTATTTCATATAAAAAATCATTATTTGTTATATTAATGGTGTTTGAGATGTGGTTTCCGTGTGTTGGTTCCGGTGATGAGTCTATCAATGATTTTGTACTTTCATCACTTGTATTACTACATTGATTATGATCTCTCCGTTTTTTGTTCGCTAATATCTTAAGCTTTTTTAGCTCCCGATTCTCTTCATTCAATATCCACTCCTTTATCAAACAAAACGTGTTATAATTATTTTAATTACTATTTATTTCAAATGTTTCAATACCCGTCTCATGCCGATAGCGAGACATTTATCTAATCGACACTTTGCGCAAAACTTTCTCGTTATTAAATCAATATTGCATTTATTGTCAAAATTACATTTTTGCTACAAATTAATGTACCGGTTAATTTATTAAATTACTATTAAATATATTCAATATCAATGATCTTACAGTATTTTTTAAAGCATTCCTCCTAAAAAAGCTTTTACATGCTTCACACGATAGGGCACCAAAATTTTTCCCTTAATATTCATATAGTATAAATTTATTAACTAGTAAGAATTTTAATAATAAATTTTAAAATTAATTATTGTTAAAAAAAAGTCATATCATACCCAGTGCCATATGTCCACAAACAGCACATACCTTCGGTAATACTTTGTCACTCATATTAATATTTACCGTAAATTAAAGTTAATTTGCATTAAAATAATATTTCTAGTGATTTGTTTTGACAGGTTTATATAAACGCCTATGCTTAATAAATTAATTAAATTATATTAAAATAGAATTTATATCAAGCTTAGATTTTGTGACGAAATGCTAAAAAATAATAAATTATTCAATTTTGAATTGTTTATTTGTCGAGGTATTTTGTATTTCATACTTCATATTTCATTACTATGATATGAATTATCCAACGATTGGATTTCAAACAAAAAAAATTCTATGAATAAAATTTATTTATATTATTGATTCTTGAAGTCAATGTATATAATAATTACAAATAAGCTTACAATAGTAAATACTGTATATTAATACTGTAAATAACACACAATCTTAACAATACACTATAACTACAATAATAATACAAAAATAATCATAAAATCATAAAGAATATATAAAACTAGAAGTTTTTGAATTATAGTTGTTTTGTGAATTTAAACACAACTAGAAATATGTGCAAACAAATCAAATGTTTCAATGGATGGCTTTTAAACTGAATTGCATTTGATTATCATTAGTACCAGAGTTTGCGTATAAGAGTTTAGGTAATGCTTTATGATTTTTATATAGAATCGGGGATAAATTTAGTAAAACTTGTTTTTATTTATTTTAATCCTTAAGCGAATTAATTGGTTGTGTTCAAGGTTAACGTGACAAACGATTAAATCTGTGAAAATATATTTTTAACATCTCTTTTCCTATATATTTTTATTTATGTTTTTATTATAATAAAAGAAATTGTTTTTGATATAAAATTTTTCAAATAAGAAAACCATTACTGTATTTAAATTTATTCATACTTTCAGACATATACGGTAATTATGCTAGAAAATACCCTAAATGTCTAATGAATTCACGACAAATCAAAATAATTAATTTGAATTTTTTATGACTCATAATATAATTACATAATTCTGTGATATAATGGGCCATAAATAGCGTGAAATTGTTATAAACGCTTATAATTATGATAAGTACCGTATTTGCATTCATACAAAACCACAAAAAAACAAATACACATTTTGTATAATATTGTGTGAATTGTTTATTTAAACTTAACACATATATAAAATTTATGATTGTATACATTATTTACTGTATAAAATAAATAATACTTTAGTAAATATCAATATATTTGTGCATACTTGTATTTATAGTTATATAAATGAGATTTTTAGAGATTTTTAACTACAAGTCCGATGAGATGGGAGATGATATGAAATCAATTGAAGAGCTGCCCGACTCTACCGGTGCCGTAGACTTGACATCAAACACCTCTAGCAAGAGTGGGGTCACAAGGGATGAGTTGCAGAGTTGTAAAGTATGTTTCTTTTGCATCTCTCGCAGAATATTCACGTCATTCAATGTATTCATTAGTCTCAAGAATCGTGACTTTGCCTCACATTCCGATCGATACTTTAATATTAAGTAGCGCTCAAGTAAATACATATACATATGTTGTTGCACTCTATTATAACGGGACATATAAATAATTTATTCATTTTATAACAAATCAAATCAAAGTACAATAAGTCACTTACTTGACAACGTCTCTATTAATGAGATTAGGACGATCCGGATTAAATAATATAATTGGCATCATCTAGTTATACAAATTATGTAATATAATAAAGTTTGGTGCTCATATTTAAAGTAAAATTAAATAATACCAAATCTATAATAGCCACATCCGAGTCCCAAATGGGCGACATTTTGCTTAAATATCTAATATACGAGTTGTAAACTTCGGGTTTAAATGATTTCAAATACTTCAGTTTAAACATCAATGAATTTTCCTTATCCTGAAAAATGTCAAAAATTAATATGATTTATGAAACTAACAAACCCTTATCCGGGTAATATAATAGTATACCCAGGGCAGTCTCATACACTCTTCCTGGTAGTCTACGTGCATAACGGTGCGCATCAGTAGCGTCTCAACGCAGCCATACTTCAGTAACGAGATCCTGTCCTCATGAAGAATATTCTTGAATGCCGTCAACCCTTTGACACCACGCGTGAAGTTACGGATCCCTCTGTCAAACTTAAAGCTAACGGTGCGATTGAATTCCTCCATATTCGTGATCTCAAGCGTGATCTTAGTCAAGGGTTGGCCAATAATTTTGGTTGAATTGAATAATTCATTCAATAGATAGGATTCCGTGGTATTGAAGTCGTGGTGGTATTCACTGACAGGTCGGGCGATGGGAATGACCGCCAACTCAAACTCCACGGCCCTCTGAAGCACATCCATAGAAATGTCATTATCATCATCACTGGTCGGACAGGTGTTGGTGTCGTCCATACTATCGCTTTGAACGCCGTTTTCAATGTCCATAATCTGTTTGTTAAGCTCTTCGACGCTGAAGTTGTTGTCGTCGAGAATGTCGTATAAGAAGTCATTCCTATCGCACATCCCATTCATTGATGACTCGTCCAGGGATG